TGAGCTTCACCTTATCGTAAGCCAAGCATGGGTTGAGAGAAGCAGGATTTCTTGTACGTTGCAGTACTCAGGCAATATACTTCAAAGATGAGATCGGAATGGAGATAGGATCTACCATTCTTTAGATCGCTGCGGATGAAGGGATGTGTCAGGAAGCAGCGAACTAAACCATATAGCTTGTTCCTTTAATATGACTTAGCTCCACTGTAAATTATAAACAAAAACACAAATCGTCCAGGAATGCAAACTCCTTACCATATAGAGCCAAGTCTCGAGATCATCCTTTCTGCCCTGTTCTATCCCTAGATGACATGCCCGTGAAGCAAAACGTATAGTGCCGAGGAACTTCACTGCAACACGTGCTACCCTAAAACTCACAAGTGGATGTCCGAAACGGTACGGGGTTAAAAAAGAGGATAAAGGCTATTCTCATTTTGATTGGACATGCTTAAACCAAGTTGCTGTCATTTATTTCCCATCTTTTTCACCTTGAGGACATTATGAGTCACCGAACAAAATTTTGCACAACGTTTTGGGTGGTTTCCACTAATGTTTCTTTGGTTTTCTAACTTGTGAAAGTTGGATCCCAAACAGCGAGAGAAATGTTTTTCTATCCAGGCAATAATTCGAACTAAAAAATTGAATTCTCTAACAAACAACAGCTATTCAAAAAACCCCAGGAAAGGCTTTTTTAGTTGGAACCTTTCACGATGTCACCTGCGTTTTACGCCGCCGACTTGGCGCTAACATTTTTTCCACCCAAATTGAAATAAAGTTGTATATGAGGGTTATTTGGCGTTTTTGCACGAATACAGCAGTTTTTCAACGCGAGCGTCATCTGATGACGAAAGGCGCTAGTCTGACCCTGAAACCTTGAATGGTCTATTCCGAGCGACGAGCAAGACTTCATCGTCGAACCACGACATTTTAGAAAAGTGGGAAGAGCTCGCACAATGTGGGAAAAACCGCTAGCACTGGAAGGGGCTGTTTCGGCGACCTTAAGAAAGTGGATAAATAATGAAAACAGTCAAAACTTTGCAAAATCGCTGTCCGGCTGAAGTGAGGTGGCTAAGTGGGGCGGCATAGTGTGTAGGTGCTCGTCTGTGAGTAAATCCTATGAGCGAAGAGTGAGTTTAGAAGCGGATGTGTTGAAAAAAAAGTTATAAGCATTCAACATATCCAATAAACCCGTTAAGAAGTGGGTGCAGGCGCCTGCGTATGTTTATCACATATTCTGCGTTTGTGAAAAGTAAAAATGCAAAAAAGCTACAGAAACAGATGTTGCAAAAAGAAATTTAAAAGCACGATAGCGTTGAAAAGTGGGCTTTGTTGTGGGGGGATGTAGGGAATCGTGGCAGAATGACGGCTTTCTTGAAACACAAAAAAGCCGCGAAGATGGGACACCCTTGCACAATGAAGAGCTTCTGCACGTCGGGATCGTTGACTCTCTCTTCAATACTGAACACAGTGATTCACCACTGAGCTCTCTTGGATCAGTAGTGTTCAACAGACGTTCGCTCATCCTGGTTTAAATATGCGTTTTAAGATGTACTTACTTCACTTGCTTCGTGTCGCCGATCCGATATTTTCTAGCTATACCGAAATCGAGCATGTAGATGACTTTCTCGTACTCTCCAAGTCCTACAGCGAAGTTTTGTGGCTTAATATCCCTGGAAAGAGCGGTTTTTTGTATACAATTTTTCCCTGATTCGAAACAAAGCAGCTACCTATGCAAGTATCCCGTTTCGTGCAAGTCCCATATTGCTTGTAATGTTTGCAACGACGAATTCATGGCAGTGGGCTTTGAGTAATCGCGAAATAGGATCTTATGGCGAATATCTTCAAGTGAACTGCCCACTAACCCCATGACCATGAACTGGAATGTCGAGTTATTCTTTAGTCGAAATCGAAAACAGGGCACGTCGTTGCTTGATGAATCCCCAAAGGGGGGGGGGTCGTATTTGGCCGCCAGGAGAGGGGGTCGTATTTGGGCTGAGAAAAATTTATTTTGATAGTTGATTTTTCTCGCTTCACGGACGTTGTAAAAGGGAGGGGGGGTCGTACTTGGTCATTGTTGGGAGGGGGGGGGTCGTATTTACGTTTTGGCGTTGTAGTAGGAGCGGTGGTTGACTTTTTGTGATTTTCCTGCTTTCATGCGTACTATATACGCGTACTTCCCCCCCCCCGCTCGACTGAGGAGGGGCAGAGGGCCGGAGGGAGGGGGGGGGTCGTACAGACTTGACTAAAATCCCCAACGAGTGATGTGTTGCCCTGATCGAAAAGTAGATAAAGCAGAGACATCTGACCTTGAATTTATCAGTTTTTCCGCGATCAACGAACTCAACAAAATGGCCCTTTTTCTCTGGATCAGATACTTCATGACATTGCGCTAACACAAGAACTTCTATTTTCAAGCGAAGTTTGAGTTTGTCGCCTTCAACCATTTCGGTCTTCATCGCATATTCCTGCAAGAATGGAGACATTACTCTTATGAAGCTATAACAAGATCGCGAGCATAGGTTCACCTTCATCAAGCAAAGTCTACTTCAAAACACACTTTTGGCTCATCTGACACTCTGCGTAACTGCGCACTTCATGCAAGATTCCACTCCTGCAAGGTAGAGTTCGGGTTGAGCACCACTTTCCGGAAACTCACCCTATCGGTTCACCTTCCCCCCCCCCCCTTTGACTGTTATTTGCCCAGTTTCTGCGATTGCGCTGCGTGCTGTAAGAATGGAGCGCTTTGTGACCTACATAACTTTCGCTAAACTTCAACCTCCCTGAAAAGTGCTTAGAATCATCCGCAAACAATTTTTCTGCCATGCGATGGGAGCGCTCGCTGAAAGGAGTTCACCCAAATTGCGCCGAAGTTATCGCGCAGATAAGCTTGGCGGCTCGGGGAAGGAGGAGGAATCTTTTGCAAAAGCGAGTCTTTGACCTGTCAATGGACACAGCTAAAAGCTTCGTCCAGCCAAAACATGTTGTGAAGGTTTAGACCGATTCGGAATCTAAAAAATTTTCTCTCTGAAAATACATATCAAACCCGCTATATCAACAATCCCCCGTTGCAGATTCCAGTCCCGATTTTGGTTCAGCTGCAATAAAAGGATCAAAAGATACTTCGGAGTCTCGGCTTGGAACTGAATTCGTACCGTGATATAGCTCGCTCCAATACCACGGCACAAAGCGTGCTCTAGCTGCAACTTTGGATGGCCGCGAACAATTAATATTCGAGTGTTGGCGCATTTACTTATTCTTTTTCTTTTTTTGTGCCTTATTACAGTCTATCCATAACCTTTTGCATCATTCATTATTTTTTTTGCATTGTTCACAGCTTATCCATACTTAGCATCGTCTTTTTTACGTTGCGTTTCGCAGGCTTTCCGTTTTTTCGGTGTTTTCATTTTTCGACTGCTAGCAGATTCAGATGTAGGCGCCAGCACCATATTTCACCTGAAGGTAGATTAGCAATATATTACTGGTGCCTTCGTTAAGCACGAATCTACCGCAGTTAGTGGTTCATCTGGTAGCACTAAAATTATTTGCTTGGCGCATAACGATCCTTTACCGTGATGCAGATTAACACTTTACGGACCTTATTACTACTTACGGCTTACGGGAGGTTGTATCCGAGATCCTTTTTTGACGGGGGGGGATTGTATTTAGCAGAAACTTGTTACAACGCGAGGGCGTGCCCTGCCTCCTCCTCCGAGCCGGTCACATACAATCCCCAGGTCGGGAATTGCGTCACACATGTTTGACCATAAGTGCAACTTTGCCTGACGTGCGCAGTTAGTCAGCAGAGATTTTCGATTTTGCTACTCAAGTGGCCGCAGACCTTCGAAGGGCAGGTATCTTGTCCATGTGATTTTGAGTGCTCACAAACGTAAAGTCAAAACGTGGCGAGGTAACTGGATCTTGTGGTGTGTGCTACTGCGTGGTTCTCGCTGTGGGTTGCGTCTCTCGCTTCACAGCATGCTTTTCCAACGCCGAAGCTCAATTGAGCTCCGCATGAAGCGCTTTCAACTGCTTCTCATGCTCTTTCCTGCGCTAGTAAGTCAATGAGCATCCATTCGAGTTCAGGTCCATTGACCCATTTGCGAATCAATCGGAATTGGTCTTAAATTATCGAAATCGTGTAGACGTTCAAAAAGGCTATCACTGGTGTGAGGATGGAGCTTTTTTGGGGTGAAGGCGGCTGAGTGGAACCTATTTCTTCGACAATACTGTGCCAGAAATTGCCAGGTAGTCACAGATCCAAAATTTCAAGCACACAAGGTCATGTGCAATGCAATGTATGCTCCTGCTGATTGCTTACCTTTTTATCGCCGTCATTTTCCTTCACAACTTTATAGACATCACCGAACCCTCCTGAACCCAAGAGCTTTATCACTCTCCACCTGGAAACAGTATTGTTCAGGAAAATGGTGGTTGCGATCAGAGAGACATCAGTATTACTCGAGTGGAAGGATAGCGAACTTACTTGAAAGAATCGCTTGTCACTGTTTGTCCGGGAACCATCTTTTCTCTTGGGATCTCTCGCTTCTTCTTTTTCTTCTTCTTCTTCTAAGAATAAAATGGTTTGAGAGGACCATTCACGTATAGTATTCCCAACTATCCCCTGTCGAAGGTACTGTTTGTAAAGACTTCTAAGAAACTAGTCACGTTTACTTGAAGATAACTCTACGAGCAATGAAGTGAAATAGTCCTTTCTGTGATAAAACCTTAACGAATGAAGAGGGTATGACGATCTGTGCTTTCGAGAGTGCTACCAGAGAGAACCTATATAGCTCATACATGCCTTTTGGAATCCCCATGAACCTCTATCGTCCTCTTGGAATAGACTGGTGAGTTCCTGGGCGTCTGTCGTCCAGTTCTAGCAAAGTTACAGCTAACTTGCAGTCGATAGTGGCGAAGTAAAACTGTTCGGCATAAGTCGGAGAACGTACTTCATTAGTGATGCGCAGCAAAAAATTTACGCCGTATAAAGGCAAATGAACACATGGTCATGCATTTCAGAAACTGATCCCAGTTTCCGGACTATTGGGATTCTTGGGAACCGTCGCAAAGAATGTATTCAAGCTCGTAGCGATCTACATGGTGGCATAGTATGGTCATGAGATAAAATATGTGAACCATCGCGGGGTTGTGCGAACAGCGGAGCAGAACGGCCTGAACTATGACCTCAAGAAATCTATCAAATGGTGTCATCTTCTCATGACATGTGAGACGTGGACATGGGTCTTGCTTCATTTAAAAAGACATTTTGACAGTGCATCATCCATGCAACTTTCATCTGCCCAATGATAACTGTAGTGTACGCCATGAGCGAAGAAACTCCTTTCCAGCTTGCTCAGTTATGCTTTAGTCACGGGTGCTGGCCCAGTGGCAGTATTATTTCCAAGACCGCTACTCTCAAGTAACCTCATTCCATTCATCACATTCTGATCACTGCCTTCAAGGCGTTCTAAGACTGAACCGAGGAAAGACTTCATGATAATCACAAGTTTCTTTCCATTCAGGGTGAGGCTGTAAGGTGGTGCAGATTGCAGGAGTTCTTCTGGATTACCCAGTGTTGCCCACGTGATGCGAAACTCCAAAGGCGATCGTCATTTCTGCGCCATTTCCTCTTTTCTGTTGACGACATTGAATGATGGAAGGCGTGAAGAAATGATCACGGGCCGACGTTAAGAGGTAAGATATGGGAGGGTATGAGCTCTAAGGTCTGCGAGGCAGCCTCTTCATTGGAAAAAGGCTTTGCATTCCGAGAGAAGTGACTCATCCACACCAGAGCTATTTTTGCTCTAGTCCCTGGATTGCAGCTGACTATGTGCTCCTTTTGTTAGTATTGCAGCTTTCCAGAATAATCCATTGATCAAGTTTCCATTAATCTCGACGTGATGGTAGCAATACGGGATGTGATTCTTAAGCAGTCAGGGATTGTTAGAAATATTTGCGAAAAGGCGTTTTTTATCAAGGAATGATGGTGATGTTCGTAATTATTGGACCCCACCCTTCTCTTCCCTCCCCAGCCTGGCGAACCTGAACCTCTCAGCAGGGTGTGTACTGTTGGCCCAGGTCCAGGCATTATGAGCGTAAGTGGACAAGGACTAGTTGCAACTGCTACTCTCCCTATTTTCAATCGATAATCTCCTCTATAACCTCTCAGAAGTATTGTTGAGCGACACCGTTACACAGATAGAACGGTACTCCATAGCCGCCTGTAATATTTATTTATTTGTTGGTGTGTTTGAATGGTCACGTAAAAAAACTACAAAACCATGAAGTAATGACGTTGGTGGTTGTGGGGTATCCGGAGCCCAGGGCAGGTACTGTGGCTGGGTGAAGTTTTTGCAAAATGCGGCCCTCCCCCGAATCTCCTTCTCCCTGACTTCCCATCTTACTGACTTTCCCAACGTTTTTACCAATTTGGCTTTGGCTCACTTTTGCAAAAAAATTCGCCAGTGTTTCCAGGAAGTCAGCCGATGAGCAGGCGAGGTAGGCACCAAAAACTCACTAACAAGAGAAGGTTCTCATGTAAAGATTCAAGTATCGGGAATAGCAGGCGTATAGGACTTTGACTGTGCCCCGCAGTAGTGGGGATATATAGTTTGCAAAATTGCAGGCAGCCTGGGACGGCGTCAGCAGAGCGGGATGGCTCGCCTCCGGTTGCCTCGCTTTACCAACTCGCTTGGTCGTGTAGAGATCAACTTATGAGAACGGATCGGATCCCCCCCCCCCCCTAGAAGACAGTCGTCAAAATTTTCTATGCGGCACTCCCCTTAGTGATGAGGAATCGCAGAATTAAGTATTGCCGACGGTACCAACCATTTGGTACACTGTCTAGGGTTATCCCTCACTAACTTCATCTGCCAAACCATTCAGTCAGTTTCACCTTACTCCCCATTTTGTGGGGTTTTTCGTATGCGTTTTGAGGATTTTTGCCCTCGGCACCGTTCACTTCGGCGAACGCCCCGCCCAAAATGGGTGTGTCTCACTCATTTCGTCCGCCAACTGATTGCCTATCGTTTGCCACTTTTTCCACTCTCCGAGCTCTTTTGGAACCGAACTACGAATTTTTGAAATTTTCGTAGCAAGCACCGCCCACCTATAGAACGCCCCCCCGCCCAGGATGGGTGTGTCTCACTCATTTCGTCCGCCAACCGATTGCCTATCGTTTGCCACTTTTTCCGCTCTTGGGGCTCTTTTGGAACCAAACTACGAATTTTTGAAATTTGTAGCTCACAACTGTGCGCACGCCCCGCCCACAGTGGGCGGGGCCTAGCTTAGTTCATGTGTGTTCCGTACATCTTGGCCCATGCCCTACCCAACCCACCCTTGACCCGCCCCCTCCAACTGGCTCTTCAGGTGATTCCGAATTTCCGGACAGACAGACAGACAGACAGACAGACGTTGCCGTTTATATATAGTAGGATAGGAGGTGGAAAGGCCGCAAGTGGAGACCACTGATTGCGTTTCGGCTGACAGCGGTGATATCAAGTGTATGTTAGCACATGCGAACCGGAAAAACCCGAGAGAGGTAAACAACTGGAAAAGATTTCTTAACGCATGAAAAAAACTTTCAAGGCCAGGTACGATTTCTCTTCCCGATGGGGGGGGGTCTCCCAACTATTGGACAGCGCGCGTGAAACAGGAAAAAAAGAACTATCCCTTATCAAGAGAAATCTTTCAGGTAAATTACGAACACCCTCCCCCACCCTCAGACGTCCAAATGTGCCAGGCAACTATGATATATCGATTGTTGGAGTTATCTACGGAACTTTAGATATGACTGTGCTGGAACCTGTTGCTACTTATCGAGAAAAGCTCACAAGAACCGTTTTATTATTTTCAACTATTTCTCATAGTCGGAAATCAGGTGATCCGCCAAAGTTGTGCTTACCTTAGTAACTTTGTCCTTACTGTCTGCATTCGTCTGAACAAGGTCATTCTGCTTAGCGAATTCTTTCGCAAGAGCATCCTTCTTTGGCGTAGAATCCTTGGGTGGAACCTCTTCAAGTACTGCGCCACCGGTTCCGATGGGTGCAGGCGCAGGGTTAACAGAGCTGGAACAGAAAGAGAGGTGTCACGTTGACTGTGTAAAGATCGTGGTTGGATAGTAATGGTAACCGAAATTTGGAATGAAGGCAGAGTTATTTGCAGGTACTGGGGACGTGGCGAATGGAGATTGAAATGGCAATGGAGGAGCACGATTGTGAGGGTGGAGACCGCTTTTAACCGCAGAGCTGTTTAACCCTATTGAACACTTCCAAGTCGCAAAAGAGAGACACCACCCAAATGAGGGCCTCTGCATGCCGGTTCATCAAGGACTTCGTCTCTCACTGACACGCTTCACGACAAACCAAAGCTATTACCTTTCAAACTGGTAAGATGACCCGGTAGGTGATTGAGGATTCAAAAAATCCGCATTCAAAAATTGACAAGTTGTTGAGAATGTTGCAAGAATTGTAGTGATAGCTACAGTTGGACCAGCCCATGAGCATCTTCCACACCCATGCAAATCTCCAACGGATACAAGCTACTCGTCAGAAGCCCCTCTACTAGATCCCCTATGCAGTTACCTACCTGTGGTTCGTATTCGAGCTCCACTACTCATCATGTGGGATCGCGACTTTTACCTTTAAGTTGATAGTATAAAAAGCTAATGTGAGTCCCTCACTTAGGATTTACAAAACTCTTTGGCTCACGCGGCGAAATACGTTGTGAAAGGAGCCATAGCCCCTAATTTCTGGCACTTATGGTTGGGAACGTTTTGTTGTTGTTGTCCTGTTATCCGATCGCGATGTGAGCCAAGTGAAATTACGTGATGAAATGCACGGGAAGAAGGGTTGCTAATCACCCCATATATATAATTCGCTTTGTCTGTTTGTTTGTTTGTTTGTTTGTTTGTTTGTAAGTCTGTTCTGTCCGAAATTCCGGTACTCGACTGTCAAGAACGACCTCTTGAAGTCGGTCAAGTTCGAGCGGGATAGGGTAGGGCGTGGGACAAGAAATAAAAAGCACACTTGACCTAAGGGAAGCTCCGCCCACAGTGGGCGGGGCACTCCCCGAAAGTTTGGGGTTCCGCACAAAATTCATAATTCGCTTGGGGCACTTAAATATGGGGGGGGGCGAGGAAGGGTATCAGTTAGTAAGGATGGTCGCCAACTAAACTGAACTGGCAGCGTACACCCTAAAGTGGGCTGTGACGTATCAAGGGTGGGCGATGCTTCTTCGCCAAAATTCAGCATTAACCCGGCTTACGCACGAGAAGAGTGTTTGGAAGTCGCAAAAAGCTCAGTTTAGAATGTAAATATCTGGCGAATATAGGGCACGCTCAAAGCGTGTTGAGACCCGCCCACAGTGGGCGGGGCTTGCCCTAAATCGCAGGGTATTCATTTTAAATGTTTGTAGCTCGGTTCCAGAACACTCCAAATACCGGAAAAAAGTGGATTAAGTTCAGCAGAGGGTCGTCGGTTAAGATTGTAGGGCAAAAAAATTGTGGGCGGAGCCTGCTCCAG